TGTAAGTATGTGCCTAAAATAATACCTTCAACCTTTTCTTGGATTTTGAATTGCTAAGACCAGAGGCTAGGCTTTAGTTAACTACAAGATTTATATGAGCTGAAAAAGATGAGCACAATCATAGACTGGATTATGAGAAGTGTGAAGTTCCAAACACAGGCAATACCAGCAAGGCAGCTCCACCCACTAAGCAAAGCATACTCAGTGTCGAACACCATGGTGAAATGACCAGAGCCACTCTTTTGCCCCACACATGTGTGTTGGAAACACTTGGTGAAGAAGAAAGCAACAATGTTACCCACAGTCTCATCACTCCAAAGACTCATGTTTTCCCTTTCTTTTGAATTGTTCCCATGTCAGGTATAGGTCTTATCTGGCCACCTGCAGGTCATTCCCCACCCTGTGCTCTGGCTTGGGAAGCTGACAGCTCCATGGCTGGTCCCCTCCCCTGCCTTCTGGTTGGATTTGGCCAGGGAGAGCACAGATGTGGATCCTCAGAGTGGAGTCTGCTCGCTCCCTGTGATGAAGCCAGGTTGGCAGCTGCCACCCCTCAGGTGCACATGGCTTCCCAGGATACTCCTCTACATCGCCTTGGCTTCCGAACTCTGCCCTTGCCTCTGTGAATAGCCTCTCCTGTATTACCGAGCCTGACCTTGCCATTAGTCTCCTGCCTGGACCCTGGCTGATTCCTGTTCCACCTAATACTTTAAATACACAGCTTCTCATTCAGTCGATTCTGCTTGCCTCAATTCAGTGGAATGCTCTTACTGTCCTGACATTTTCATTCAAAGACTCCTGATGCTAACACCATTTCCTGTCTCAGTTGGGGTCTGTGTGGCAGGGTTCCCAGGACTTTGGACATCTCATGGTAAAACAGAGACAATCCTAGGTATATTGGGATGGCTTGGCTACTGCAGCGTGTGCTCTTTTAAAAAAAAAATTTGGCTGGGGATTTAGCTCAGTGGTTTCGTCTGCTGCACAAGTGTAAGGACCTGAGTTCAATCCCCGGTACCAAAAAAAAAAAAAAAAAAATTTAAGATTGGTTTTTGAGGAACATTATCTTATCTTTCAAAATATTTTTATGATCACGTTTAATCCAAAGTTGTTTTATTGAACAATAACAGAATATTTCCCACTATTGATAAATGTGTGTCAGATTCTTTTCCTAAGGGAAATCGCTGTAAAGTGCATTGTTGCTTTGTGTCTAAATCTCTTTGCTCTCTGGGGAAGTCACCCAAAGAATGCAGAAGACAGCAAAGTGTAACGAGTGAGAGCTTACTAGGAAGTTTTGAATGAAGAGAGTGATACAGTGCCTCACAGTAAAAAAAATGGGGCTATCTGAATATGACTCCGAATTTAAAGATACGTTTTTAGGCATCTTATCTGATAGTTTCTCATGTCCATGTCCTTCCTGCATACTGTGATCCTGAGAACAGAAGATATTTGCTTGTCATGAAGAGCATAGAATTGTGTTACTAATTTCATTAATTAGTGTATTTTAATTAATTGATTGATTGATTGTAGTGCTGGGGATTGAATGCAAGACCTCTCACTGACTCTTGCACTACATTCCCAGCCCTTTTAATTTATTTACTTATTTTTATTTTGAGACAGGGTCTTAATAAATTGCTAAGTTGGCCAGTTTGGGCCTGAATTTGTGATCCTCCTGCTTCAGCCTCCCAGAGTGCTGCTATTACAGCCCTGTACCACTGTGCATGGTGTTATTGTTCTATTTTAATTTCTAAGAGGCAGATCAATTGGAAAGGAAAAGTAGCAATCTCCATCTGAGCTAATACTTTGAGAAGAAATCTTCATGTACATTGGGGTAATAGTTGGAATATATAGCATGTTTTATTTTTTCCACTAGAAATACATTTATTAAATGACAATATTAACAGCTATCATACTGCTTCAGTAAATAGGCCGCCTGGGAAGAGGAAGTTTAATTGGATTAAAATCTGCTATGATCTGAGTGCTTTTCAATTCAAGATATTATTTTCCACTAGGAAAGCTTTTGACTATTTACTCCAGGAAGCCAGAATTTCAAATATGTACCCCTTTACTCCTGCCATTTAATATCAGTTTTCTTGATCTACTTCTGCTCCCCAAATCACTGCTGCCTCCTCAGAGTTGGAGAAGTTATTTAAAACAAATTAACAGTGTTGGCTGTGGCTAAGTTAGGAATTAACACTCCACCTCAAGCCCCTCAGGATAGTTCCCTTTGGTATGTTTACATTCTCCACAGACAAAGAAAGTGCTATTCATGGGAATGGCTGCTGTTAATATTACCTTATAATTATTAGATACCATGAACATGTATCAAAGATACTGACCTAAGTATATTAAATTTAGTTCATTTTAGCAGACATTTATTGAATGCTTACAGTATGTAAGGAGATAATGGAAAATGAAATTTCTAACAAGTTGACAACCTATAAGAACATCAAATTATTGGAAAGAAATCATCAGTATACATTCATTTTGGTTGTATTTTAAAAAATAATTATATGGATATGCTTAGACCAAATTTTCAAGACGATATTCCCATTTTGTTTTGCTGCCTTATGAAATTTGTAAGAATTCGACTCAGTGTTTATAAGTTATAAATTTCTTTCCTTTGGAGAAACGTGAGGATGTGGAATAAGACCTCCAAGTCCCACAGTAAGCTCTCTTTAGCTACCATGGTTAGAAAGACAGATGTTTACTTTGCAAGCTTAGCTTGTGATGTTCATGGCTAACAAAGCAGCAGAGTTGAAGAAGAATGGACTTAGTAATTACCGGGTCTTCATCCTAAGTGATAATAACCATGGAAATGGATGGCAGAAAGAAATCGAGAGGCCAAGCAACTGTGAACACATTTTGTTGAACACAGTGGGGAGAGTTTGGTCTGACTTTGATAGCGAAACAACTTTCTCTGTAGAGGCCATAGAAGGTACTTTGGGGGAAAGTGTCGAGAGATCTTGGAAATGGAAATTCTGGAGACTGTTTACATGAAGAGTCTGTGCTCATAAAAGATCCACGCCATCTCCCAGTGTGGATGGACGGAGCATCTGCTCTTCGCAATGCTGCTCCCGATGCTAACTCAGTGCATCAGGCCAGAGTCACCCTGAAACAGCTCCTGCTTGCCTGCATTGCAGCTTCATTCCTTTGGCTCTAGAAGCCATTTTTGTCTTCATAAAAACGAGCCACAATGTCAAAAGCTGTACAAGTGGATATCCTAATGATTGAGGTGATTAGCTGATAACTCAGGCCTTGAAAGAGTTGGGGTCACGGTAGGGGCTTGAATCAGAAGAGGGAGTAGAGGATAGGCGAGAAGAACTCACAGGGAAGGAGGCCAGGAGGCTAAAAGTTAAAGCACTTGAAGGTAAATTTCATCTAAGGACAATGCGTACTAATGGGGTTAAACACTTTGCTGACCCTGTAATCCTATTTCTACACATTTGTGTTAAGGGAAAACTCCAGATTACATGCACAAGGATACACACAGAAGTATGCTAATCATAGAAAAGTCTACAAGTATGTAAAAATGGAGATAACCTCAGTATCAGTAAAGGTTGGAGCAGCATGCAGGAGTCCAAAATGAGGACATAGATGTAGATGTCAAAGACCATGATCTGTCATGTGGCGAGAAAGAAAATAATACCCAAAGTTACCTATAACATCGCCTAATTTTTATTTTAAAAAATATACAAGTAGAAAACAGGAGCAATATGTGAATATTAGTTTCCATTAATTACACAGAAAAGCTTGGGGCATAAACTAGGTGGCCTCTGGCTAGTGAACACAGGATTTTTAAAAACCTTTTTTATACTTTTAAGATTAAAAAAAAAAACCTTCTACAAGTATTAGCTTAAAAATGAGAGAAACAGTGAAAATAAAAGAATCCCATTCCTTTTAAAGACTGGCATGCAGCTTTGCCTAAGCAGAAACCCCTGCCTGTGGACCCTGGGTCGAGGCTGCGGCAGGAATTCTTTGCCTAGAAATTAAAAGCCCAGCAGCTCCTGCTGGGGAGCCATGCAGCGAAAGCACCCAGGTCGGAAACAGGAGCCAGGCACTGAGGACGACCCCTCTCAGATGCCACCTCGGGCCCCTTATCCCCGACTCATCCTCCTCTTCCCGATTTCTCTCCCCGCCCCCTGAAGCCTGCTTGACTGGCACTTGAGGCCCCCATTGACTTCAAACTCAGCCTCCCAGAACGGACCTGCACCGGCGCTGGCTCTGCCTTGGTGGGATATAATTGTGCCCTCACTTGATCTTCTGCCCTCTTTGTCCCGGAGCGCCTACCCTGTGCCCTTCTGAGGGAAACATCAGACAGGAAGCATGAGTGAATGAGAATGCCTCCAGGGTGGTAGCCCCCTGACATCCCGATTAGCTTGCTACTTGTTAGCAATGCAGAAAATCACTTCCACGCTCCATCCCGCCCTGCCAAGAGTCCAAGCATCCCACCACGAAGACAAGGCAAAAGCACTGGTGTTGCCTTCTGAGGTGCTGGTAAACACAGGGAAGGACGGGCTGTCACTTGGCTCGGAGGAAGTGGAGAGTGGAATCCAGCCAACTATTTTTTAGGTCATTAAAAGTCATTTTTGTTTTTTTTGAAACAGGGTCTCACTCTGTAATTCAAGCTGGCCTTGAACTCACTATGTAGCCTGGGCGGGCCTTGAACTCACGGTGATCCTCCTGTCTCAGCCTTCTGACTGCTGTGATAGTTAAAGAAAGCAACAGGAGAGGCAAAAGTACGGATGTGCCAACACAGAAGCTCTGGCTAGAAAAGATTCATTTAGAGAAGCCGGATGGGAGACGGTGGTGAGCAAATGGAAGGCGAGGAGAGGGTGCCAGGGAGAGGCTGTTGTCAGAAGACCACAGTGCCGTGGCCGTCAAATACCAGAACGCTGGTGTGAACACACACCAAGAAAAAGAACTACTTTTAAGTAAAGGGAGGAGCCCTCTAAAATGCTGCCCTACCGCGTCAGAGTCAATGCATATGAGCCGAATGGTCTTACCATGGTTTCTCTTCAAGAATGGCTTCCGGGTAGGGGTCTTCCTATTCCCAGTTCTTACTCTTGCGTTTACCCCATGCTGGCCTCAGTCCTGCCTGGAATCCGATAAGACTCTTCTGAGGTCTCTTCGTCTGTGATCACCACCTGCAATTACAACCGCAGTAAGAGGAATTAACTGCAGTGAATGGAGAAACACCAGCTCGTGTCATTTAACTACTTTCCTCAAGTGCATATTGAATTTGAGAGCCATGCGGCTTTTGTGCTCTGCAGAGGCAGCCATAAATGTCATTAAGCACCGTGTCCAAAGTAACAACACGTTTAAAAGGACAAAGAATAAAAACAATGTTTAATGTTGTCGAACTTGCTTTTCTTCACTTCAGTATATGCCAATATCTTGGTTACTTGCAATTCATAATGATGCATTAATGTGAGAGTGAGGAAGCCGAGTGGTCTGATATTCTTCATGAGGGTTGGAAGACCAGAATTCAAAGCCATGAGAAGGTGCCTGTGTCACACCTTAAGGTCCATCTCAGGTCCTGTCTTTACCTTCTCCGATGGACTGGAACATGGCAAGGAGGTGCTCCTGTCCTCATGAGGTCTACAGTCCAGGGAGGTAAACACATAAGCATCTTCAGGAAAGGAGAGAGAAGAAGTCACGAGGTGTTTAGATGGAGTTAGGGAAATCGAGCATTCCTGGGGAATGGAGCCCAGGCACAGAGGCATGAACAGCACGAGGTGCCTTCAGGACAATGGGTGGTTTGGCATCAGAGATGATGTTGGAGAGTCTTTGCCTTTTGGGATTTGTTTTAGACGGATTAAAAACAGCTAAGATTATTTTCTTTGGTTTCCAAGACACGCAGGTGAAAACGTCACTTGCCTTTAACATTACTTTAACTTGTATCATACAGAGGTAAGCGGAACCCCAATTTAGATGGTGCATCTAGATCGCTGTTGTCCACACAGGTGACTGGCAGCTCAAGTCTCTCTAAACCAGGCAGTGTATGAATTCTCTAGTAGTCAGCACCTGAGGTTTGTCCAGGGATTTGTGAGGTGACTGGAAAGGGTTGGCTCCCCCGGCTTGTCCATGCATCCTGCACCGTGGCCCATGGAAATGACAGCTGGTCTTATGAGTCGTAGTCTAATCGGGGGTCAGATGTACATTTCCCGGAAACTGCAGGGAGTGTTCAGGGCAGCTGAAAGCTGACAACCTGGCAGCAGGGAAGATGACCCCTCCACCTGGGGCTGAGCAGCAGCAATGTTGCCAAAAAGGGCCATGTTGATCTTTGGTGTCCTGAACCACAATTTGTTGAGAGCTTATTATAACACCAGACATTGCACTGAGTACTGTACGGGGATTTTTTAAATGTAATGTTCACAACAATACTGCGAGCAGCCTCCTATAATAATTCTTACTTAAAAGAGGAGGCATCATAGCTCATAGAGGTTAGGTTTTCCAAAGTCATGTAGCCAGTAGTGGAGCTGGGACTTGAACCCAGACACTCTGAGGTTCTCTCCTTACACTGTCAAAACCCAATTCCAAAAGCAGCATTAGAGACTAATGACATCAGGTGTGAATGTTCAGAGAGATGTAGTCCGGTGAGGGGTCAGGGATGAGGACCGTGAAGTCTGTCCAGTGTGGGTCTAAGTGCTGGCTCCACCTCTCTCTTGGGAGCCCAGACACATGGCTCTGTCTCCAGCCTTCAGTGCCTGGATCTGGAAGGTGCTGGTCACAGCTACACACACCTCACAGGCTGTGGCAGGCATGACGCGAAATGGTGCATACACAAACCTGGCACGTGGTGTGATCTCAGTGGATGTAAACTGCTACTGTTATGCACAGGAGTTGTGTGCGAATGCTCCAATGCCGGGGTATATGTTTTACCAAGTATTACTCTAAGCCAGAAAAAAAGAGAATTTCATGTAGAGTTTTTAATTTGTACTCAATTTTTAAATTAATAGTAGAATATCTATTTAATTGTTTGAAGTTCATATAATGCATAGAAAGTCAAGTTGCTTTAATCCCTTGACAGGTGGACTCTCACTCACTGTAGGTTCTGTGGGGAGCCCTGGTTAGGTGCCCAGAGGACCTTTCCTGGCATCTGGAAGTTACCCATGCAGCCCACCGACTTGGAGGACAGCCTTCCCTCTGGCCTCAGAGCCAGACGCTCCTCCTCTGGCTGCTCCTTGTGAAAGTTGGGCTGGGAATAGCAGGGTAAGGAGTATGGGCAGAGAAGGGCCACTGGCGGGAGCAGCTTCCTTGTCAAGGTGCTCAGCCCTTGACTGGCTGTGCGATCTTCTCCCCAGCTTCCTAATTATAAGGCGCGAGCTCCAGAAGCTGTCCAGGTCTTTGCCATTGGTTGGTCCCCTTCATTTGATTGATGTGGGAATGATGAACCACACTCCCAGCACCCAAGGTCATGTAGTGCTTGGCAAAGGGCAGAGCCAGGGAGAAGATCCCTCGCCCCCTCGTTCTCATGGCTTGGATCGCTATAGCAAATGGGTGGTGCGTGACTTTCTGTGCTCTTTCATCCAGTTTCTCATGTGGAAGCCACTTCCGGCTGTAAAATCTGCAGGCTCTAACTCTGTAAGTCTTTGTCCCATTGGAGGCCAGAAGAGCAGTTCCAGGTGTGAGTGGGTGTGTGAGAGAGAGGGAGGATCCAGTGGCAGGACACGGCCTGCGAGAACCCTCCATTGGCAGCTGTCCTGGCCGCAAGTGCCCTCAGCTGTGCTGGGGAAGGAGGTTGTTCCTGCCTGGCTGCCCCGGGCCACCAGCTGCAAAGAGAGCTAGCAGCCACCTGCGTGACTCACCCTCTCTTCCCCTAATGGCCCTCACCTTTACTGGTGCCCTGGCCTGTAGTCTCCCCCAGCAAGAATTTCAGGGGCAATTCCTGGCATCTCCCCATCTCCTGGGAATGGAACTCCCTTCACTGCCTGCCAGGGGCTTGGGACAACAGAGCCATTACTGCTGGAGTGCAGGATTCTAATCCTCTTGCTGCACAGGGTCCTGGCCGAATCCCTGGGGCTGCTGCTGTTTGGAGCTGTTCCGGTGAGGAGGACAGACATAGTCTCTCCAGGAGGACCTTTGGCGGCTTCAGACTGGCTGACAGAACTTGTTTCTCCCCCAGTTGGCAGCAGTGGGGTCTGAGTTTTTTTTCTTTTATGCAGCACTGGTGGCCTGTCCTCTAGGAAACTCGGTCTTTAGTGTGTAAGTCAGGGGCAAGACTAGAAAGGCTCCCCACAGACCTGCACCACGGATGACTCTTCGGGGAAAGATTTTCAGAGGACGATTCCAGGGTCTGAATTTCCCCAGGTGCTGTGGTCTGTGAAGTCTGCAGGGCTCTGTTTCCAAATGCAGCGGGTGAGTGAGCTGTCACTGGGAACCAGAGCTCCGGAGGCCTGCGCTGAGAGGACAGGCCCTCTGCCCCTCCTGAGGTGGAATCTAGGAGAGGAGGGGGAAGGGAGACGGCCACGATCAAGCATCCGTGCGCGATGGGATCAGCCGCTCAGCGCCTTCTCTCCAGGTGTTGGAGCCTTCCTGTTTCCTCATTCGTAGCAGGAGAGGGTTGGGTTACAGGGCCCCTTCTAAAGAAAGTACTCATTCGCACTTGTCTCCCTTCCACCTGGGCTGGGGGCCGAGCTGCTGGCAAGAGATATGGAATCTTCAGCTCCCAAGGATTTCGTGTCCTTGGGGAGAAAAGGATGTGCACAGACCAGTATTGGTGTTGAGTCGGTTGTGTGGGATGTCACGTTGACTGGCTTATTCCTTTTTCTGTTATTGCATATATTTAAGGTGGACAACCAGAAATTTTGATGTTCATATGTACAATGAAATAATCACTAGTTAAATAAATTACTGTATCTCTCCTGTCATCCTGGCCTTCTTTGGGGTCTGCAGTGGGAACACGTGAAATCTACTCTGTTAGCCAATTTCAGTATGTAATACAATCTTACATCATCATGGCTACTTCAGACTAGGACTTAGGATGAGAGCAGAGGACTGGGGGTCTTTGTAGAGGAGGTAAACCATGGGAAGGGCCTTAAAGGGTGGTTAGGATGTGGCCGAGGGAGAGGGAAAAGAAACCGCAGGTGTGAGGACGGAGAATAAAGACAGGAACGCAGCGCACAGGTGGAGCCAGGAGGAGCCCATGGGAAGAAGCAGTGAATGTGTTGCATGGGACCATTCCGCAAGGCCGTGAAAGCCTGACATTCAGTTCCTTCTTTTCCCCTTTGTTTATGCATCTTGTTCTGAGTGTCTCCTACGTAAATCATCCGGAGTCGCTGGCTGAGAAGAGTTAGGAGTACCACATGCACTGAAACTTGTGTTTTTAAAAGACTCACTGGTTTTTGGGTTAAAGTTTAGCGGTAAGATTGATCAAATTAAAAAGGACCCGATAGGCAGTGGTGACACTCTGAAAAGTTATCGATGCCTTGACCCTTTCCCAAGATATTCTGATTTATTTGGTCTGGGGAGGGGTCTGAGCACACTACTATTCTCCCACTTCTTTCTCTCTTCTTTCTTTTCTTCCTGCCTTCCTTCCTCCCCCTATCTCTTTCTGTAGCTACTTGGGTGTGAGAAGGGCCTGGAATAAAATTGTAGCAACTAAAATGGAGATGAAATAAACCCAGAGACATTTTAAAGGCAAAAAGGAAAAGAATGAGAAAAACAGTCAGGTATCTTGACAGATGAAACATAGCAGGATTCTATTCATTTCTCTTTAATTTTGGTTTACTATTGGTCGAGTAGTTACATATGCCTTACACCTAATCAGCAGCTGTACGAAGTGCAGAGGGTAAATCCCTGGTCCTGCCTCCCAGGAGCCTTTATCTAGTAGATAAAGAAAGAGAGTACAGTATGGGGAAAGCAGAGGAACTGGCCTAAGGGCAATACTGTCTTTAAATGTTAAGTACAAACAGAGAAAGTCAGAGACTTGTTGCAGAGGAGAGAATGAAGGAAGGCTCCCTAAAACTACCATTTAGTTGCAATTTGGGTAAGTTTCTCAGCAGTGTAGCTGAGGTAAGAGGCCTCGTGTATGAGTCTTAAAGTGTTAAGGTGAGGACTGGAGATGGCCAAGCAATGAATGGCAGAATCAATATGGGGCAGTGAACACCTGCCCCTAAGAAAATGGGGTGTGTGTAAGGCCTGG